CACACACACACACACACACATTAATTTAAACGCATATCGCGTGCACAAAAATTAATCCACAGAAAAACATTCGTCCACACATGAGCGTATTTTGTACTAAGCTTTTCATCGGCATATATAAAAAAGATAAGAAAAAAAATGTTTTAGCTGTCTTTGAAATTGCAGAAAAAAAGTATTGCGACCTGCAGATCCAGTGGCCAAATTTGGACGCTATTGTTATGAAAATAGCCAACTCGTATCACCACTAAAGTGTAGGCTGCTAAACTTATCGGGTTTTTTATTATTTTTTACTCATGCTCCCGTCTGTACACGTTTTATATACCATTTTTCTAGTAGTATTTTGCATGCTGAACACGAATATGGCCTTCATTTTTGCTGCAAATCAATAGTTTTTAAGTTATTGATGTTTGAAAACAGTAATATATTGACTTGATTTTAACAACATGGCAAGGACGAGGGTTTCAGGGGGCCATGCCCCCTTGACCGAAAAAGAATCTGGGGGGCGGGGGGGGGGCATGCCCCCCCCCCTACCCTGCATTTCACAATGATTTGATGTTTTGGCAATTAGGATTGATATTTACTTGAAAGCAATTGATTTGCAAGGGTTTTAGTGGCCATACGTGTGATATTACGGCAGTTAGCCCTCAAATCAATGCATTTTTGTGTGTGGGTGCATGAGTAAAAATTTACCGACTTTTCACTCTCTTCAATCCCCTTTCTTAGAAATCTATTTTGGATCTATGCATTTTTGCATAATGTTGGGGTTACATAAATAATATGTAAATCTAATGATTTGTTGTATAAATGAGAGATCATACTGTTTTTGTACAATTTATCGTTTCGTGTAAGCGGACCTTGTGGCTACACCGTCGCAATGTGTGAGTGGGTGATAGCTTCTTTTTGTGCTGTTGTTTAGATAACAGAATTTTGCAGTTGTAAAGATTAAGAATGACAAAAGTCATGTCGGCAAGCGACCAGACTCAGACGACACGGGACTACATGTATTTTCAAGAGCTAAACCTGGAGGCAACCGGTATAACAAGAAATATCCGTGGTAGACCAACAAAACTACAGACTTCAACAAAAGTTAAGGACCATTGACAGACAGCTCTGATTTCTAAAAAAAATTTTTGTGCTCTGAAAGTGTTATTGGGTGAACAATGTGTACTGCAAAGCTTCCAAAAGGGGGGGCCAAACCGCCACGTGCAGAACGGAAATCCTGGAGGAGTTTTAGTTTTAGCCTAGCCAAATTTGCTGTTTTTTTTATCGACTTGTGTGCGATACCACGGACATGCCTCGGTTAAAATTTCCGGTTATCGTCATAAACGGACGTACGGTCTCGAACTGTGCTCATTTCGGTCGCAATATAAGCCGCCGTTAACGCAAAATCTAGTATCGCATCAGCATGCCACAAAGACGAAAGCTGAGAGACTTTGATCGTGCCATAGCTATGGCATGGCTGCAGAAAGTTGGAGCCCAAGAAGTTGCCAGAAGGCTCGCAGTGTCAGACTCTCTCATTCACACTCATTGTCTGCTTGAAGCTGTGCCATCAAGCCACTGGATCAGTCCAAGAACGCCCACGTGTAGGTCGACCCAAGAAGACCACCCAGAGTCAGTCAGAGTGTTTGCAAGTGATCCTTAGCTTATGTTGAAGTCTATAGATCCAGCTGGCATGATGCACCCACTAGGCCTAGCCTAGACCTCATCGCCCTATCCTACCCGGCCCCATCCCACCCCAACAAACAGGACACACACACACACACACACACACACACACACACATACACACACACGCGCACACACACACACACACACACACACACACACACACACACACACACACACAAACTGCACCACAAAACCCATCACTCGATTACAGATTGTTTTGTTTATTTTTTTCAATACTTTGCCTAAGTTAAACTTTTGAATTGTACTTCTTTTCTTTTCTCTCTTGGCCTACTCTTTAGTTGGAAGACAGGAAGTTCAACTGCGAATCGCGGCGTTCAATCGGTCAATTATTGTGTTCATAAAGAAACTTCACTGGCTATTCCAGAGACCAGCTCTGGATAAAAGTTGTGTTTCAGTGATGTGACAGGTAACATTCTTGTGCTTAGCATATTGTCTCAGGGAACCGTACAACGAATCTCGCTTTTTGAACCGTCTTTGTTTCTGTTACTGGTCAGGTCCTGTCTGGGCAACCACAGACTGTTCTCTGAAACAATATTGTCAGATCTGCCCTGGTCAGCCACCGCAAATCTCATCTCTTCATCGTTACGATGCTGTACTGTACACTTACTGTAGACTGTAGTGGTCTGTTGAGTCTAGATCTAGATCTTGATTCTAGATCAAGATTTCGCATGTCGTTAACTTATACAGGGTGCCCACTACTACTTGACGGCTGGATGGGGCCGATCGCCCGACTCGATCGCAAGGCTGAAATGAAACTGAAACTGAGTGAAAACAATTCGTTTATGAAAGTGGCTATTCTCACCCGCCCGAAAGTTCTCGCAAGATCAACTCCTCCCCTCTTCTCTCTCTCTCTGTCTCTTTCTGAATACTGTCTATCGGTGTGGACGATCAAATTGACCAAAACAAGAAAGAAAGTGGCTATTCTCACCCGCCTGGAAGTTCTCGCAAGATCAACTCCTCCCCTCTTCTTTCTCTCTCTGTCTCTTTCTGAATACTGTCTATCGGTGTGGGCGATCAAATTGACCAAAACAAAGTTAAAAAATGATGTTAAAACACGAAAGTAAATTAATTTGGTTGTCTACAAAGATGCTACGGCTATTTAACTTTTCGAATCGAGCCGAACTACGTGGGTCGCCATTTTGTTTTGTCCGGAAATTCTCGCGCTACTCCTCTCTCTCTTTCTCTCTCTCTCTCCACTGCCCACAGACAAAATTGTACGCTTTTAGTAGGCTACAGTTGTAATGGAACGTTTGTTCACGGCACAGAATTCTTCAATTTTTCTGTTATCACAGTGTAAAATTCTGTGGTTTAGGGTGAACGCAAAATTTGGTGAACGCGCACCGGGTGAGAATAGCCACAAGACTCGCCTGCACTATTCTCACTCCGGGTGAGAATAGAGGTGGCCTTTGTTTAAATTTTGAGGCGATCCAGTCCGTAGTACTATAGATCTAGATCTAGTATTGTGTATACAGACCCGGTAACGGGGAACAAAGTTACAAAGTGTACAGACCCGGTAGGCGAACTCTTTTGTGATTTCGGAAAGTTTCAGCGCCCTCTTGGCTCAGGGTAGACCTAGGTTCTTCTAGATCTATGGCCTAGGTCTCGATCTAGACAGACAGACATAAATCATTGATCTAGTTTCGAGGTTAGCCTAGATCTAAATAGATCTAACTAAATGAAAATTGCGAATGTCTTTTCGATGAATGATCGTTTTTCCTCCGTTTTTGGAGTTGGAGGAATCACAATTTGAAGAAAAGAACAATGTCATAATTTCAATCGAGCAGTCATGCTCTCTCTCTCTCTCTCTCTCTCTCTCTCTCTCTCTCTCTCTCTCTCTCTCTCTCTCTCTCTCTCTCTCTCTCTCTCTCTCTCTCTCTTCTCTCTCTCTCTCTTCTCTCTCTCTCTCTCTCTCCTCAGTCTCTGTGTATCGCTCGCATTCTCTTTTGGAAGAGGCTAGCCGTACTTAATGTACTTAAGTACGGCTAGACTCGCAGTCTAGCCGTACTTATTCTTAATATTATGGCTAGACTGACCATTTACAAAAAATAGGCCTACTGAATTGTAAATATACATTTTTAGTGTGCAGTACCTAAAGCCTAACTAAAGTATTTGTATTTGAGACGAAACCAGGTACCTTAATGACAGGGAATGTATTTTAAACCTCCAGTTTTCTAATGTTAATAGGGCCTAAGATAAGTACGGCTAGACTGGCAGTGTTTATCATGTTTTTTGAGAGCACCCACACAGAGAAATGAATGGTGAACGTTGATCACCAATGTCTGTTTCAGGTCTAGCTCTTCTTGAAGATGATCTTCAATTGTATTTTAATGGCTAACACATATTTCTATTTGGTGAGTGCAAATGGAGGGAAAGAAATATTTCTTATGAATTAGTTTTGAAAGCAAAAAATGGTAACAGTGAAACGGAGGGTGTAGAGGTTCCAAGTTCCTTAGTGTACATGTAATTCGCCGCTACAATGCAAGAACCACGTGTCCGATGTAGGGTCCACTGCACTCAAGACCCAAGGGTATGGTGCACTGCAAGACAATGAGTAATACAGTAAAACATCGGTATATTGGGCTGAAAAAGTACTCTTCATTGTATCTTGGTGTAACTTTTACTTTGTGTAGTCTGGAGTCCCAGTTAAAATTGTTAGGATTTGAAAACTATTGCTATTTATATTCACAACGTACCTTTATATGTGAAACTTTCTTTTCCCTAATAATGTTCACTTAATTTTCAAGGGGTTTTAGTGATCTAAAGTTCCTATATTGGACACTGTACATATTTATAATGAGATTAAAGAACATGGCAACTTAAATAGAGCAGTGAGAGTGCAAGGTTTTCGCAGAGGTAGGCCTACATGTTATGATTACGTGCGTATATAATGTGTGAGTAATTGCTGTCAGTCGGCGCTTGCAACCCCCCCCCCCCCCACACACACACACACACACACACACACACGCTACACCCCACTGCCACCACTCTCTTTCTTTCTCACACACATACACACAGGCGCGCACACACATGCACACACTTGACTGCGCGTGAGCACCCTGTGATTTGTAAAATGACGTGAAAAAAACATAATATTGCTTGGTAACCTTTCCTGTCTACACTATTTTTACAACAGTAGCTGACTAGTAGAGTTTGTGTGTGAATTATATAATGAGTATGAGGAGGGGAAACTACTTTCCGTTGTTTTATGGTCCAGACGGTTAAATTGATCTAAGGGTAAATTGATTTTTTTACATTCCTCCGACGATATCAACCCATCTGTGGTCGACTGTATCAGTCCAAGAAATGACTGAGATATATTTATTTGCAACAGTTGTCCTCAGCCAAGTACAAGACTTATCAACACTTATCATGTTGCAAGTCACATTTAAAAACTCATGGATTATCAAGACATTTTTCACCTCTAAAACTAGTGTGACGCAAAAATGGGTCAGGATGTATTTTAAGGTCTGGCTAGTTTTGGGTCATAGTCATACACCAGTTGCTAGTAAATATTGGCGCACTGGGAAGGTTAATGACACCTTGAAACTTTAGATTGTTTGAAAAACTGCTTATTTTAAGTTGCCTTTGTGTAGTCCCGGGGTTGTCAAAGGTTTTGGAGACAAACAGTGCGGCTTGTCCATCGATTGATATTCATGAGGACCCTGAGTGGAACTGAATCTAGATTTAAGGGAAACCTTAAAGCCATTTTTCTTAACACTTTGTTTCCGCACCCCACCCTGGTCACCCAACAATATTAACTAGATCTCACTAAGTGCTGAAGCTATTTTTAAAATTAAAAAATTGATGCAAGTTGTTCAGAAATGATTTTTGTACCATAAATTGCAATAACGTGCAATTCTTCAAAATGTGTCAATGGTACAGGCTACCAGGCGCGCACACATTACGTTTAATAAGAATGTGAAACTTTATTTTAAACATTACATACTTGATTTTAAACGTATTTTTAGTAGAGGTGTATTGACACTTGTTTTTCAATCCTTCCACAGAGTTTGTAGGGCTCCATCTCCTATCAACATGGATGCTTCCTCAAGTGATGCATTCCAACAGGTAAGTCATTGTTCTCATGAAGTGAGTGTTGGTTTTCATTTTGTTACTTAACGTTTTCCATTTCAATATCAGTGAGTTAGTTCGGTGTCTGCTCTTTATGTGATATCTCTATCACTGTGTCAGTCAAAAGTGCTTTTTGGTAGTACTAGTAAGTTACATGTTTACTGTCAACGATTAGTAAGGACTGTCATTTTTCAATTAATCCTTCAAGGTAAGAGAGGAACTAAACAACTGCATTTAGTCTGTCTTTGCATCCATGTTGGTTTTAAGCTCACGAGCTATTATTTTTAAAATCATGTTTTTTAATGAATGGCAGTTGTAAACAGGATTATGACTTTGTAAAATCCCTCTAACAGTTTTCAGTTTTTAGCCTTTTGACAAGTATTCCAAGGGTTACTCGCCATTTGGTGGAATTAGGAATTGTTCTGATTTTTATTCAATTTTACAAAAATACGATCGTAATACACAGCTGATTCAGGTTTTTCAAAACATTCTGGCTACCCCACCCTACAACCAAATTTCCTGGTGTGAAGGGGAGAAAAACAGAACTACCAGAATCGAACAGTCTGTGTCAGTACATCATGTGCAGCTGTCTGATTTTGCATTTGAGCCTTTGTAGTTGCCTAGTACCTCTTTGCCCTTAGAAAGACATTAGACTTCAGAGTGCCAAAGCCAAGAGTAAGGCAAACATTAGATTGACAATGTGTGAGAAAATTGTCTTTCCTTTTGTGTCATCTAGCCTTTGTTAATGTTACATGGACTACAACCCTTGTCCTTGAAACCCCATCAAAGAAGATTTTCCATAGCCACTTATTTCGAATTTTTAAGCTGGTATACTAATTTTCTATCTGCTGATAACTAAAACATAGGCTGGTGGGTGGGCAGCCCTCTTTTCCACTCGATCGTAGATTATTTAATGAGTGTGTTGTTTGTGATCCTCAGTTCCTTGATTTCATCACTGTGGCTCTGGAAGGAGAGAATCCAAAGCTCATTGAACTGGTGCAGAAACGTTATGAAGAGTGCGATGAAGACTTTCGCAACTCCCCCAAGATGCTGGCCCTGTTGGAGCAAACACGCAGGCTCATGGAGACTGAGAAAGCACGCATGTTTGTTCACCTCAAGGACTTTGTCAACGAGCTGAAGGCACGCCCCCGGAGCAAGAAAATCAAGCGAGCTGCGGAGAGAGCTGGGCCATCCTCAGTGCAGGCCTCGTCTCTGGTAACAACAGGTCAGCCATATTCCTTTCATCATCTTCAGAAGTGTCGTGTTGTCTTAGTAAAACTGGAAGCGCAGGATATTCAGGGTGGGTTTGAGAGGAAGCCAACGTTATCTAGATGGGAGGTGAGGAGAAGGCAAACTGGAAGACGGCGTTCCTGCACCATAGGCGATGGGAGAGTGGCAGAGGCCAGCACCATTTATACTCTGAGTCCTTCAAGTGGACAATGTAAGGAGGAAGTGTCAGATAACATAAACAGCAGAGCGGAAAGCAACTTACCAACTCTTTGTGCTACTCGCACTATCCCACTGCCCTGTGTTGCTGGTTCGTCGTCATCGCTGTTGACAGAGAAAGGAGGTGGAGATAGTGAGCCAAGACGGTCTGGCTCTCCACAATTTTCATTTGGCTTTGGTAAGACTAATGTTGTTCGTGGATTGCAGACAGCCAGCTTTGGCTGGAGCAAAAATTATGAGCGTAAGCACAGGTCTGTTTCTCGATTTGTTTCTGTGGTGGATGTTGACACTAGTCAAGACCAATCTCCTGTCGACATTGTTATGGATACAACCTCCAATAGCAATTTCCCCTCCTTCCATGGAAGACTGAACAAAGGCGAGTCCCCTTTCCAAACCAAGGGCAAAAGTAAAGCAGCATCAGATCATGCCAAAGTTTTATTAGACACACAACCCGTTACCGGAGTCCCTGGCACTCTGCCTCATGCAGAGCATAACTCACCACTTGCACCTTCACCATGTCAATCTGACGACACTACTTCATTGCTCATGGATTGTGAGACCTTTTCTGGCGATGAAACTCTGTCATATGTCTCTGAGTCACTCACTCTCGATTCGCCCCCAGCATCATCTCAACAGCAGTCTGATGTTTTGTCAGTGATGCCGAACAAGCGTTTGATGCTATCAGAAGACGACACAACTAAGTCTTGTCTGTCTGAAACTCATGCTTTCCACTCCCTTTTAGCCCAGGCACACCCTGACAACACATCACTGTTGCCCCACCATTGTGGGATGTCTTCTGAAGATGACGACACACCGTCTCATCTTTCACAGCTGCATGCAGTAATTTCACCTAATGCATTATTTCACCCACATAGTGAGCACACATCACCAGTGCCTGAAAATCTTGCTCTGATTGCTGAAGAAGACAAATTGTCTCTTCTCTCGCATGATGGGAGTCACACGTTATCATTACCTGACCCCCAGCTGTGTGACGATAATGACCCATCAGGACCCATCTCACGGCACATACGATTGAAAGTGCCTGTCGTTTTAATCACCAAACTTGACCCAAGTACAAGCAGTTATAGTTATAGTAAAGAACCTCGGTTTTCCACAGGTGGTGATGGCTCGTCTAAGTTTAACTCTGAGAAGACAGGTGAATCAGATGCGGAGGCCAGCACTTCGAAACAGTCTGTCTCCAAGACTGAGAAACAGAGTGTGGTAGTTTTGTCAACTGGTGATTATGATGAACAGAAGGGTCCAGCATGCTCCCGAAAGACCTCTGGTAAGTTTGATTGTCTGATACACATTGCATGGAGGTTTCAGACTTTGGGTGTTTCCTTGTGATGTTTGGGAGCATCAATAATGAGAGGATATTGCTGACATTGAGTATGATTGAGATTCCTTCTCTCATGGCTAGAAATTGTTCTTAGTGACCTACTATTTCTGGATTGCTGCTGAACGAAGTTCTTATAATATTCTGAATATCAGTAATTTTTCATGGGCCAACACGGTACCTTATTTTGTTTCATCACGCTTCATAATTCTAAATTAGACCTCCTTTGTTCAAAAGCTCACACGTGAAGTCTGTGATCATAGCAAGATGTTCAATCAACCCTTTTTATCTAGATTTCTTTGAATACCGTGAACGCCATGACTGAGGTGGTAGAAACTCCATGCAATCTAGTTTTTCTCAAAGTGCAAAGAAGTTGTAAGGAGTGAAATTTAAACAATATGTTCCACATCTAGGCTATGCACCTTTTTTAGAGAGTTATTTTGTGTTGCAATAGCACTTTGTAAACTTTTTAATTCTTTGGCATCACTTTCGGTGTCACTGTGTTGTGTGTGTGAGGTCAGTACACAGCATTATTATATGTTGCTAGCTTTTCTTTCAAATCTGTCAGAAACATTGGCCCTCTAATGCTGATAGGGTCACCTAAAAGAAGCACTCGTAGAAATCACAGGACTGATGACGGTATAAAATCAAAGACTGAATGAAGTGGGCCAACTTTGTTGACTAATGGCAATGTTGAGATGTGATTTTGCTGAAAACGAAGGCTGGGATTCTCATCATCTTTTTCTCTACGTACCCCTGCTTGAGCTCAGAGAATAACCGACTTAAAGATTTTCATCTCACAGTGCAGTTGATTTTTATGTACTTGGCCATTTTATACAATAGAATATTGAGTTCTCCCTTGCACGACAGGCAGTCACATGCTGTTTTTGAAGGTACTCTTAATAATGACTAGAGTGGCCTCAGTTTTGGGTATGAATTATTTTTTTTATTTTACCAGGACATCGACCGGAAGAGCCTACGCTTTTAAATATTAGAATCGCCGAGGAAACTTCATGTTCGTAACTTCCTCTTAGGACCCCTGAAATTTTTTGTGCGTGCAAGAAGACGAGGTGCTGAATGGTATATACCCTAGGATAAGGGGGTGTAGAAAACATAGGGAAAAAACATGATGCTTGTGGGGATTGAACTCTGGACATCAGGTTGACAAGTGAACCCCCCTCTTGAGAAGTTCCTCTGAACTGTTTGGCAAAGTTTCCAAAAGTGCCTGGTATTGGTAAATTCCTTTGCTGTGGGTCAGCGTTGAAAGTGGGCATTAATTTACCACCAATGCATTTCTTGTCTGATGACAGGTTCATATTGATCAATAGAGCTTCTTTCGCAGAAATCTGTTTACATAGAGATAAATCTACTCTCAAGGTTTCTGTTTTTTTTTTTAGAATGTTCGAGTTGTAACAATACAACAGGTTCCTTTGTGAAAACTCCCAGTAAAAGGTGTCTTGAATACTAAATGCTTTATATCCTATCTGTTGAATGTGATTATGCAAGCATATGTGATGTATCTTGGTGAAATCAGGCAGTCGTCAAAATAATGAAATCGAAGAAACCATATTTTTCAGCATGTTTTGCAATTTTTATCGAATTTTTATTTGGCTAAGCATATTCTATGTCCATATAAAATATTTCGGTGTGCATTTTACCTGAAAAAAACATTGATTAAAGGCACAAAAAATGTAAAATTTCAAAATCCAAGGACTCTCAAAGTATGGAAGTAATGAAAGTCTTTGGTGGCCTTTTTTTCCGCTAATTTTACTTCTGAAAACCAGGCAACCCCACATCCTTCAATCGCAAATATCCTGACTTCTATTCTATATAGATGGATGGGTTTTTTTTCATTGAAAGCAAGGCAAATGAACAAGTTCTAAGAGGATATTAATAATTCCATTTGCTGAATAATAATAATTGATGAGTGCCTGATCCCACAGCGTCGTGACACTTGGTCACTTTCAAGCACAAGGGGGCTATCCCGCAAAATGCTGTTTTTTGAGAAAACCGAAGGTAAAGTTTTTGCCCCTTGTTCAGTTTCTATAAAAGACAAGGAGAGTTTTCTCCAAAACCAAACAAATGTACACACTAATGAAACCAAACTTCTCCTGTATGTTGGGCAATGCATACTTTTGGTGTAGGTCAAGATTTATGGAAACCCCCGAAATCTGGGTTAGCCCGCTTGTCTTTAAAAGCGACCACATATGGTTTTTGGGGATGTGATGTGGCCCACGCCTAGTTCTAGTCAGTGTCCTCTTCTGTTTGTAGCGAAATATGGCCAGTATCCTAATGCTGAGTCACTGCTAAATACGATTCTACCTAACAATTTTTGTCAATGCCAGCAAACTGGGGGCAGGTACGAGATTTAGTGGTAGGAAAGTCTGGGATGTGACAACTGGAAATGTAGAAGACCACTTTGGGTCACTGTGTCTGAAATTTGCACAGGCTTTTCTGTTTACAGTATGAATGCAGTTATTATATGAATGCTTGTGAGCAAAGAAAGATAAAGGGAATGTTATATGTATATTTGTGGGTGGTTGGCAGGTGCTCTGGTGTGGTTTGCTTAACTTCTTTCCTATCAAACGTCTTTGTCCTTATCTCCCCTTCTTCTTTTTTATGTTTATTACTCTCTTGTAACACCTAGTGTTCTGGCGCTCATATGGCCTTATGCAGTTGCGAGCGCCCTAAAATCTCTACTAAAAAACTAACCTAAAAAAAAATAAAAAAATTATATATATATATATATATATATGGAGAGAGTCTATATAAAATATATATAGTTTATTATGAAGTGAAGGAAGGAGAGACAGAGAGAGAAGAGGGAAGATATAGGAGAGAGAGAGAGACAGAGAGTCCATCTTGTATTGTTTTTATCTCTGTTCTTCCTTGAGCGATGGTCTTCTTTCAGGTGGTTGCCTTCTCCTTGTTCTCAGTACTCAGGTCTCCTTAATTTGTTTATGTGGGATTGTTACGGTTGTCCGGATGACTCTATGTGTACACAGTTACTCAATACCCTTCTTTACAGCTTTTTTTATATGGCTTGGCATGTGGCGAATGGTGTGTCTAGATGAGATAAATGAGATTTAGATAAGATACATTCTTTATTGTTCAGATGTGGGCACATTGGTTTAGTATTTCATACACGTGCACCCACAGACACGGATTCATGCACACACACACACACACACACACACACACACACACACACACACACACACACACACACACACACACACACACACACACACACACACACACACACACACACCACACACACATACACACACACACACACACACCACACACACACACACACACACACACACACACACACACACACAAGTATGCTTGCACTTGTATGTCATAATTTTCTGTAACCTCCTCCCTACTTTGTGTTCCAAAACGGAATTTTAAAATCCTTTAAAATCCTTTAAAATCCTTTAAAATCCTTTAAAAAATTTGGATTTTGCCAACCAGTGGATAATATTCACAAAATGCCAAAAATGCTTAAGGTGTCCAGTTCGGTAACCTCTGATGTGCACGATTCTGTGAAGAATGGGATTTAGATTGCTACAAGAAAAGCATTTTCAAATTTCTACCCCTTCATGTACGTCATACTTTGTTCTGTTTTTGAGTCATACTTTTTATATAAGAAAATACTCTGTGTTCGCTTTTTGGGTCTTAACTAAATATAAGAAAAACATAAAATAATGAGATATTCACCTTTAGATAAGTAGAAATGTGCTTACTTCTCTTTCCATTGCATGAACCTTCAGCTACAATGTCTGTATTCAATACCAGATCTAAATATCTGATGCTGCTGTTCTTCTACTTCTCGATCGCATCACACTTGACATCCGGTATCTGTCACGTCTTTGAGTTCATTTCTGCCGGTCGCGATTGTGATATTAATTTGGCTCTGAGAGTACGTTTCATGCGATTTGGCGGCAAGCGGAATTGTGTCACCAAGGCTCGACTGGAAAATCAAGATCTACTTTTGCTTTCGTTACCACCCAGAAGTTTGTCAGTAATTGTCTGATAACGCAACATTTATTGTAACATGCAGGTTCGGCACTACAAATGTGGTGTCGCCATGAAAATAATTCAATATTTGTCACTGTGCTGTCACTTGTGGGGGTAACACCAACAAGAAAAAAAAAAAACAACAACGAAAAGAAAGCTATATAAGCGTCTTGTCAGGCTCGCCATTGTGACCGGTCAATGAACCTGCGCGCGTTCTGAGCGCTTCCAAGTACAGGACTCAGGAATGGGGGAGATTATTGAATTTTTAAAAAGACGCACTCGGGGATAGGGGAGGGCTTGGAGGGGGGGGGGAGGGGGGGGGGCTGGGGGCAACACCAGAGGACAAACAAACTGAAACTGAAAGCAAATGTGCAGTGTTTAGAATTTTGATTACTACCTGATCTACAGCTCTCTGCAAAGTAAGGTGTGCGTTGATGCAGTCCTTGTGTGAAATCGGGAAACGTCATATTATCTTGTAAGCGTGTTATGGAACTTAGGGGCCTAAGTGTTCGCCTTTCATTGGATTGGTGACAGGAAATTAGATCTCTATATTTTAGCTTTCTGTTCAAGATTCGCAGATTTTCAGTATCACTGCATCTTGCCCTCCCACAGTTCTTACACCTCACACACTGAATAGGTCTACTTGGGCTATTAACTCTACTTTGAGTTTGAGCATTAATTTTTGTCTTTCTCATTTATTATATAGGCCTATATATATATAAGATATGAATCATGACAGTCGATATTCTGGTTCTAGGCTCAAAACAATATTCCTTTTTATATATAGTTTATATATACAGGCAAATATGATGATGGGAAAATATAAATAAGTTGCACAAGACCCCAGGCGCCTCCACTTTCTGTACGTAATCAAGATTGTAAATATTTGATACATGACTCTTACTTGAAATTATCTCCCAAACCCTCTAAATGGTGTGAAATAACCTTTGTTTGATAAATTTATGGTTTTTATTTCAGCATTCTAGGGTTCAACAGTATAATAATAATGGGTGTTTCGCAAAAATGGGCTTCTGTGGCAATCACCTGAAAAGTTCCTCCTTTTTTAGAATTCCGAGTTGAGACCCATGCTAATAACCATTGACCCAACAGTCTCAACATGTGCTACCAGTTTCCTTGTGTACACCACCATGGGTGGTGTAAATCTTGCGGTACTGTCAAAGTAGCTTTTGTGTACAGGGGTATGATGGGCGTGTGCTCTGGTATGGTTTGCTGCTTCTTTCTGATCAAACACCTATCTGTGGGTGGTTAGCAGGTGCTCTCTCCTTCTTTCCTACCAAACATCTATTGTCCTTATCTCTCCTTTTTTGTGTTTGTTTGTTACTCTGTTGTAACACCTCCAATCTTTGGCACTTTTACAACTTGTGTTGCAAGTGCTGTAAAACTCTCACGAAAACACCTCCCCCCCATCTGTACTTTTACAAACCTAATTGTGTTGCTAGTGCTGTAAAACTCTCACGAAACACCCCCCCCCCCCCAAACCTAATTGTGTTGCTAGTGCTGTAAAACTCTCACGACCCCCCCCCCCTCCCCCTAAACATCTGCACTTTTACAAACCTAATTGTGTTGCTAGTGCTGTAAAATTCACTAAAACAAAAAACATCAATCGTTTTAATCTTTTCCCCTCCATTTCTTCGTATGTTACTCTTTTGTAAAACTCTAAACGTCGGTACTTCTTTGACCCCTTTGTGTTATTGGTGTTGTAAAACTGTTACATTACTAAAACTATGCGCTCAGGTCCTGTCGGCTTTGGGTGTGTTGGAACAAAGGGTTAGATACTTATCTGGTACTTCTGATCTGATCTCCCCAGAAACCCCAGAACTCGTGCCCCCAAAATCGGACATGCCATCAAAGGATGCAGGCCCTTCCTCCGCCGATGAGTTTGAAACACCAACCTCTTTGGGAAAATTGAAAGAGGAGCCAATGTCCTGGTGTCCCGCTCCAGGAAGGTCTGCTGAATCTCCCACACCTGCATCGCTCAGCCTAGACAGTGGCAGAGACAAGAAGAAGCAGAAGCATGTGAAAAAGTTGGAGGATCTTCTCGAGGTGATAATACTGCTACTGTTTTTTGCCCCTCCTCTTGTGTTTGACCTCTTTGTTCACACACTTAACTCTCTCTGCGAATGCCGAATGGTCATTTGATGCTTTGGTGTGGTCTATATCTTCTTCTTTTCCATGCTTTTATTGCTCAAATAGTTGAACCTGCTTTAATGGTCTCCGTGTAAGATAATCATCTGTACAAACAACCTCTTCCCATTCTCTTAAGTTAACATAAAAAAAAACAAACAAACATTATTGTAATGACAAAGGCATTCACCTGTCTATGATGGCTACTCTTCTCCTCAGCAATGGGCAACCTTGTTAGGCCATTTCCACTGTATTTGTTCCCCAAAACATGTACCTGTTATGTATGCTGATTCTCTGCATGCTATCAATGAACATGTACTTCCTCAGTTATTGTTATTAATTGTTTCTGGTCATTTGGCTCTCCAAAGTATGTTGATGGATAATGCTGTACAGTGTACAGTGCTTCCAATCTTCCGTATTTTTACGGAAATCCCTACTTTCTGAAAGTTCTGAACGTTATCAACTCCATCCGTAAAAAGTGCAATAGCGTAGGGCTACCGATATTCCATAGCAAAGGATCCTTACTTGTTTTCATATATCTTCTTGGATAAGTTCCGGAAATTAACACAAAAGTTTGCTATTATGACTAGCCAGATTTTGACCAATCTGCGAGTCAAAATGTATTGCTGAACAACCTGCAATGAATGCATAGAGAGGTAATGGCCGAGTTTGGGGAATGTGCAGTTCGGCACATTTCTATAACGTTAACCTTTTGCAAAGAGAATTACGATAATTCTCTCAGAAATAACTCAATGTTATAGAAATATTGTTTTTCATTATTTCTGGATTTGCCTGCTTTCAATAGTGCAGTAACAAATGGAATTAGGCCTATACAAGCAGTGGCAAGGGGAACTTGCTCTTTAAAAACATTGCCAGAGAGGAAAGGATGTGTTGGTGATCAAACAAGACAAAAGACAAAACCATGGTGAAAAGATAGATGTTACGGGTTGATGGTATCTCTTCAAACAGGCTCAAAATGCCATTGTCAACCCTCTAAAAGCACTAAATTTCAATTTCTTCGGGGGGCTTCATCTCCTGAACCCCCACGGGGACTCTATCCCTGGACCGAGACCCAAGGCATAGAATTTTCCTTACTTTTCAGCTTTGTCTGTTTGAAGCACTGGCTGTAGCAAATTGTAGGAGAGATAGATCTGTGGATGATTGGCGGGTGCTCTGGTGTGGTTTGCTCCTTCTTTCCTGAGAAACAACTCTCGTCTTTATCCCTCCTCCTTTTTTATGTTTGTTACTCGAGCAACACCTCTTATCTTCGGCTCTAACATGAACTAATTGTGTTGCAAGTGCCGTAAAACGCCTACAAAAAATTTAAAACAAAGAGATAGATCTTGACCTCTGAGAGGACTGGATTGTGTGATAAAGAGGGTGTGGTCAGAGAAGACAAACATTGGAAATGGTTCAGACAGAAGAAAGTGATAAGCTGTAGATTGAGACTGAAAAATGGGAATTTTACTGTGATTCACTGACAGTCCGTGCCATCTTTCACTGGATACGCCCTAGCATACAAATTTTAGCATGAAAGTTCCAATATATATTTGTGCAAAGGAAAATCTTCGGACAAATTTACCTGGTACGAAATGCATTGAACCATGAAGCCAGTAATTGGCTTGGGGTGTATTTCTGTGCATGTGCGTGCAAGTCACATTCGAGTATGTAAGGAATGTGGACTTGGGAAATGTCAAGTTTCAGGGTTTACTGGGTTAAGCTTTAGGAGCCTTGTCTGTCTTTACTGACAACTTTTCCCCTCTGATTTTGGTAATTTTCACCCATGAAGTAGAATATGTGGGTGGTCTGGTTAGCAGGTGCTCTGGTGTGGTTTGCTGTTTCTTTTCTATCAAATGTCTATCGTCCTTACCTCTCCTCCTTTTTTTTGTGTGTTTCTCTCCTGTAATACCTCTATCTTTGGCACTAATATGAGCTTATTGTGTTGCAAATGCTGTAGAAGGCGTACTAAAACTGAAATACTAAAGATGTGAGTTTGAAACCTGACTTTTCAGTCTTTGCGGAATGAGATTGAGAAAGCGCAGGAGAGGGAGCTGAGCCTGGAGGACATGGAGGCGGAAGACTCCTCCTACATCTATGAGGACAAACTGAAGAAAAAGTTTGTGGCTGCCTGGACCAAACTGTGTGAGATCACAGGCCGTACTGTGACTACAGGCCGCCCTACAGAGAAGAGCATCCGCTACAAAGGTATGGATCAGATGTGTTGTGCCTGAAGCTGTAGAGTAGTACCTGTAACCTTGAGCAAAGTACAGTCAGGCATGCATAACTCAACCACGCCAGGGTGCTTGTCAGTTTTTGGGCGTGTGGATTTATTAGTATCATCTGAAAGCTTATTCATTTGCCTTTCTTTCAATGAAAAAAATACCAGTCTCTCTTTTGTTTGTTTTGCTTTTGTAAAGTGTTTTACGACGCTCGCAACTGCATAAGGTCATATGAGCGCGCGGGAAACACCTAATATTTTCAGTTGGTAGGAAATTTAGAATTTTGCCCGGGTGGCGGCCGAAGCCCACTCTTATCAATTTTAGACCACCAAGGGATCTTTAACTTGCACAACTTGCACATGGGCCGTCAGAGATTTTTCGCCCTTGTCCGAGAAGGCTAGGTGTAGAACTTTCCTACCAGAAGATCAGGGGTGTAGCAGAAAGACAGCAGTAAGGAGGAGCCAAGGAGTAGCAGTAGAAAGACTGCAGAAAGAGTCAGGAGCCCAGAGGAGGGGGCAAAGGAGGTGAGGGGGTGGGGGCAGAAAGAAGAGATGAAAGCAGACGACAGAACATTGCTAGAGAGCAGGAAAGGAGGTGAAAGGAGACAATTTTAGAGAAGAAAATTTTTTGGTTGCTACCCAGATTCGAACCCGGGACCTTTGAATGAGAGGCCAACACCTTAACCTCTAGGCCACGAGAGCCCCCAGTCTCTCTTTAAAATAAGAAGTCGAAATATTTGGGATTGAAAGAACTGGGGGTCGTCTGGTTTTAGAGGTAAAATTAACGAGAAAATGGATGCCAAGTTCTATAACTTCAATAGCTCGAGAGTCCTTGAGAACTAATAATTTATATAATTGTTGCCTTTAATTGTTTTCCTGTAAAGCTCACAATAAAATGTGTTTTTACGTGGACATGAAAGGTGTTGAGCCAGAAAGCAAAAATACGAGAAAAATTGCTGAGCTGGCGGGAAAATGCCTGATTATTTTGATGAGCGCTTGATTTCACCATGATGCCTCACAAATGTATTTGACACGTCCATAATTTGGGTTAACCAATATCGAAAAATTGAAATGATATCATTTGGGAATGGCAAATTATACGAGCTATAATCCCTGATATTGAGTTTTCTGTGTTCGTGTTATGTGTCCAACTGTATTTGTACCAGAGGAGCTTGTGATTCGCGCTTTGGTGTGGCCTGCTCCTTCTACTTTTTTAAAACATAATGTTGCTATTGTCCTGATCTCTTTTGGGAGAAATATGGGGGATGTTATACTGGTTAGTTGTATACTGTTTCAACTGTAGCAACAGAATAGGTTGCTCTTTTTCTAATTTGCCGGGGGTGGTTGGCGGGTGCTCCGGTGTGGTTTGCTTCTTTTTTCCCTTCAAACATTTATCGCCCTTATCTCCCCTTCTTTTTTATGTTTGTTAATCTCTTGTAACACCTCTAATCTTCTGGCACTCATATGACCTTATGCAGTTGCGAGCGCCGTAAAACCTCTACTAAAACGAAAAAAAACCTCCAAGTTTGCGGTTGTTCTTTTTTTTTAGGGGGGGGGGGTTTAAATGTTTAATGGCGCTCGCAACTACATAATGTCATATGAGTGCGCGGGACGCACCTAACATTTTCAGTTGGTAGGAAATTTTGAGTTTTGCCCTGGTGGCGGCTGAAGCCAACTCTTATCGATTTTGGACCACCAAGGGATCTGTAGCGGATTCTTTGAATGAGAGGCGAACACCTTAACCTCCAGGCCATGATAGTCCCCTGCGGTTATTAGGGCTGGGCAGGTACCAGTACCCAGTACCGGAACTCCCGGTTCTACCGAAGGAGGTGTCAGTATGGTACCAGGCCTCCTGTACCAGCTCTAGGAAGGAGCCGACACCAACGGTTTTTTACCGGGCCACGGGGAGTGTGCTGTGTGTAGGCCTAGACTAATGCCTAGGCAACTGTGACGTCAAATGCGCAACGCAGCGGGTGACCTTGATACATGACTTCATATTCAAAATTGACATTCAAAAGCGAACTTTGCTTAAATTTAAATATGGGATCAAATCAGGTTCCACGCAAGCCCCTTTGCTTACTTCGATAGGCTAATTTCGAAAATTAAATCAATTTTTAGCAGCGATAATTATTTAAAAAATTCTGTGTGCAAAGTTTAATCCTGCGCGGCGGCAAATCTCAAAGGTATTTTGCGTCACAGTTGGCCTCTCCAATTCTGACTTGTGTGTGCGGCACTGATCGGGGCGGGACGCACAGTCTGTGATGTCACCTCCTGGTGTCATTCCCAGTACAGTGGAGTCCACTTATTACGAGACCTGAAATAACGAGAAGTCTGTTATAAAGGCATTATTCTAAAAACCCTTTTTTCCCCTTCTTTATCTTTGTAAATAAAATACCGCTATAGCGCAATCAGATAAACATGTGAGTCTGTTATAGCGGAATATTCCTGCTGCTGTGCACAGCATATAGGTTAATTATACACATTGTAAAACCTCGCCAGTAGAGAAACTTGTTGGTGATCTAGCTAAACAAAGAATGGGACAGTCCATGTGTGCCAACGATGAAGGCGAATGAGTGGGGAGGGTGTGGCACACGCAGACAAGCCGTTGTGAAGCACAACACATTACCTCGTTGTGATAGGCCAGCCTAGTCAAGATTATCTAGGCCTATCATGCCTCTCACTTATCTGATGTGGGGATGGAGAGGTCACTGCGCTGTGATGGATGGAGCGAATGTGTGACGTGCGCAAGCAGACGTGGGAACGCGCCACAGAGTGTGGTGGGGTGGGGGAAAACACAGCGGGCGAGTTAGCCGAGAGAACTTTTCGTTCTGATCGCCAACGTCGAGCTGTCAACATCGCTAACGCTAGAGAAAGAAACCTGATTCGATTTTTTATCAAGTAAGACCAAGAGGTCATGTTGAGCAACACAGAGGTCATGTTGAGCAACACCATTATCAGGGGAGATAACAAAAAGAAATAAACAGAACACCAAACTCACAGATTAGGCCTACGTTACTATTTCTTTTGAATTTATTACTGGATCCCTTATAACGAGAATCCTGCTATAACAGCCATTTCGTACCGGTCCCCTCCCTCTTGTTATAACAGGATTCCACTGTACCGGTAACTGTACTGGTGGTTCTCGGATGCCGAGAAAGTACTGACACTGGGTTTCGGCGGTACTGCCTGGCACTAGCGGTTATTCAAGAGATATGAACTTGTTGGTTTTTGTTGGAAGTCATATCTTCTGTGTCGATGAGATAAAAAAAAAGCTAATGAGATTCTTGGGTCTTGTCTTCAAAGCAATGTTATCGTCTTGTTCTGTCATAAGGTACTAGGTACAAAGAGATCAACCGACGTCTTGAAAAGTTCCTCAACAAACGGAAGGTGTTCCCCGACTTCCACGATGTGAAGGCTGTCATCGCGTCATGCAACAAAAAGTACAAGCTACATATGAGGTGAGAGGGAGAAAGGAAATTTTGAATTTTATTGTATATCTGTTGGATGTCTTGCTCTTTACAAAGGTTTGACTTAAAGTCATTTAAGAGACAAAAATAGAAGAAACTTTGTTGTTGCTCCTTTAGGCGTTAGTATTTCCCTAAATGTTCTCAAGCTTACAAGCTGTGTGTCATATGTCCTATAATGGCATGGGTCATTAGTAGGCGTTGTTGTGTGGCTTCTTCCAACCTTTTATCACCAATTGTTCTTTTTTCAAAATTTGTTTGGTTTTAAAAATGTGGTCAGTAAGTTAAAGTTCTTTCTCACAGAGTACTCTGACTTAACATCATGGAATTGGTATTGATATTTTATTGCTTTGGCTATTCTTTGATCAAGTCAACCCCCCCGGGGCAGTGCCACTGACTGTGGTATCTTTAGGCCATTCCCAAAGGGGGGACATTTCTCGTTCAAGCATAGTAGAATTGTATATGGGCTGATTCATCATGTCACGCTCATAACTGTGCCTGATCTGGAAACTGCTGCTTTTTCTTTCCTAATCCTTACTATTGTCATTTTCCTCTACTTCTTTTGTATGTTTGTCACTCTTGTGACCCGCTATTTTCGGGGTGCCTTGATAGTCGAAGCAGACCTTGTGCTGTTGAAGCTAGAGAGATGAGCAGAGTAAGTCTGATTCCCTGTAAGGACTTCCCTGTTGACACCCAGCCCTTGGCGCTCATATGACCTTATGCAGTTACGAGCGCCGTAAAACCCTATATTAAAAAAACATTTTTAAAAATTTGATCAAGTCAGGTTTTGTATTGGGCTGGCATCCCCAACTGAACCAACTGAATTATATTTTTATTTCTCTCTCTGTTCAGTGGGCCCCACATCAACGATGTGGCCAGGGAAGCATTTGTGGACATCGGGGAGGAGTTACAGAAGAGACGACATGAGGACTTCATCGCCACTTTAGGCAACAGGCGAACTGATGCCCTGAGGTTAGTGAATGATGACCTCTATACAGCTGAAATAGTTGACTCTGCCTTAGAATACTTTTCTGAAAGCTGTTAGCATATATATGGGGTGTACTAAATTGCTGGATGTAACAAGGGTTCCTCTTAATCAATGACACACAAATTTAAAGGTGGAGGAAAAAAGGGTATCTCGTATTGAATCTAATGTGTGTACTCTTTTTGTAGTCTCTTGCACATCAGTCAGAGTGAAGGGTGATTGAGTGAATTATGTCAGAATTCAATGTCATTGAAAGTATTTGTTTATGCAGGTTGAAACATTGTTTTCCTGTGGTCAGAATGTTTCCTTCTTGTATATTGACGGGTATATCTTGGTCCTGTGTTGATGTTTGGATTTTGTGAGACAGGGATATATTTTCGTGTTTCCCCATTTCTAATTAAATTGCTTCTGTTGTGATGAAAATTCTTTAGCAGAGCATGCCTTAAACTGCACAAGAGACTTTTCTCTTATCATGGTCGGTCTCAAATTCATGAGATTTTAGGGCTGTAAAAGCAGTACTATGTTGTGTGCTCAGATGTCTGTTTCCACCTCTGTACTCCTTACTCTCAGTATATAATGTTTAGTTTTGTGATATTTGTGTAGAATAAGAATTGCTTCCCTTTCATGCTCTTTTGATACTTGAGTGATCAATCATTTTTATGAATGGTGACAGGTTCAGTAGTGGACCGGATCCCTACCTTTGTGATGCACGTCTAAGGCAAAAGCTGGATGCAAACCGGAGAGTGGGCAAATCTAATTTAGACCATGTGAGTTTTTCTTTTCCAACCTTTTTTTCTTTTTCTTTTGTTTTGTTTTGCTTTTGTTTTGTTTTGCTTTTGTTTTGTTTTGTTTTGCTTTTGAACGGGTTTTGTGATGGAGATGTTGCTTTTGTACCTTTAATGTCCCGGGGATGAGCACTCAATGGGTGAATTGTAGTTGGTGAGCTGTTTGTACGGTTGTTATTGTGCTGGCTGGTCATTATAATTATTGTTGTATAGCAGCTCAGGTCAGTAGACAGTAATTATAGTATAAAACCTGGTCTATGCTTGTATTGTTTATTAATATTTATAAGCATTTGATGAGTGTTTGTGCTTGTTAAAAAATCACTGTTTCGCCATTGGGATTTACGGAGATGAGGATGTCTTCCTACTTCTCGTCTTCTTTTCTGCGTTTCTGTTGTTCTTATCTTTTTCCTGGTGCCGTGTTACTTCTATCTCGTGTTGACTCAGTGTAATGCAGAACCTTGACAACAACCATGTTTTGAATGTTTTCTCTGTTTTGTCTAGAAAATTTGTTTCAGGCTGACCCTTTTAATGGTAGTTTTATTGTATCCAGCTTTTTTACCGTTACCTGTGCAGGTGCTTTGAGGGCGGGCACCTCAAGTTGATCCTTTTTTTTTTTTTTTTACCTTTCCCTCTGTTGTTTCTGTCAATCATTCATGCTTTTTCCTGTGCTAAATGGTCGTTATTGTGTCGATTTGCGTCTCTTTACTCAAAGAAACAAAATGTTATCTAGCATCTACATATCACTGCTCCCCCCCCACTAACCCTCCCCTCTCTTTGCAGGTGATTGCAAAGTACACTAAGCTTCAGAATCAAATTGGCACAAGTGACCTTGAGGACGACGACGATGATGACGAGGAAGAGGAGGCGAGTGGCGAGAGCCAGTGTAGAGGCGACATGGAGAGTGGCAGAGGAGATGCCAGTGATGAGGAGGGTGTGACGATTGAAGGTCAGTGGGGTTTTTGTTTGTTTGAGCAAAGAGAAGCATTATATCGCCACGATTTACTGTCATTTAGTGCATGGAAAATAGTGATCAAAATAGGCATATCAGTCCATCTGTCAATGTCTTGACGATGTCCAATGCATCTGCTGAGGAGAATATTGTTGTAGAAAAGCGGAAGCAATAAAGATTAGGATGACTTGTGGCTTCTGCTGTGGCCAATGAGATCAATTCTGCTTGAGAAGTGTTTATCGAATTTCCCTTGTGGCTGTGTGCGTAGGAACAAGTAAGACAGAATCAGTAGAGGGGAATGAGTAGGATCTACCAGTGGCACCTGCCAATCACCTACTCATTTGAGGTGATTGATAAGGGAGGGTTAGTTCAGCTTCAGTGTGGGTGGAAGGAAGGAGTGGGTCTGTTTTGCTTTATGTGTGTGTTTTAGTTTAGTGTATGGGGTTTTACAGTGCTGTGTGTGTGTGTGTATTTGAGAGAGAGAGAGAGAGAGAGAGAGAGAGGGGGGGGGGATGGGAGTGAGTTTATTTGTCCCAATGTCAATTTGTGTATGTATGGGAGAGATTGGGAGAGGGATTTTATTGAGGGAGTGAGGAGGGGAGAGACTGTGTCACTGTTTACTGTTGTCCTGTGGGTATGTGTGTGAGAGAGAAAGGAGAGAGTCTGTTCTCCCATCCTTTGGGTACATGTGAGAGAGAGGGGCATACCAAATATTTTTTACCTGACCATGAAGGAATAACGGTAGAAAGCTGAAATTTGGGGTGAAAGTCAACCATCATCTTCCAAGAATGCATGTAAATTTGGGGGAATTTCCGATTTCTGATTTTAAAACCAGCGCACTGTACGTGAATGGGGGTATGTTGTTCTCCAGTTTCAATATAAAATGGAGAAAATTGAGCACAGGGCAGTAATGAAGTTTTTGTTCTTGCATGGCAGGCAACTGCAGGATATAGTTACGGAGATGCGTGCCACATAGGGAACTGATTGCCTACCCTATGATGTGATAAAATTTTAGTGTAAAAAAAATCAAATGCGGATTCATGAACATTGAAGATGACCACCGTAGTGGTCGCCCAGTAACAGCAACATCAGAAGAGAATGTGTTGAAAATCAAGAAACTTGTTTTGTCTGATAGGCGGGTGACAGTCGAACGTTTGAGCAAAGAAACTAGGCTAAGCTTTGGATCAGTTGAATGAATCTTAAATGAATATTTGAATATGACCAAGGTTTCTGCGAGATGGGTCCCATGTTCATTGACTCCCCCTCAAAAAGTGCAACGTGTGGATTGTTGTCCAGAATTGCTTGGTCTGTATGAAAAGGATGAATCAAAATTTTTTTAAAGACTTGTAACCATGGATGAGACATGGGTCCACCACTACGTTCCTGAGTCAAAATCGGCATCGATGCTGTGGAAATAGTCCTCGTCTCCAAAACCAAAGAAGACAAAGGTGCAGCCATCAAGTGGAAAGGGGATGCTATCAGTTTTTGGTACCGAGAATTCGGAGAAGGAGTGATTATGAAAGAGTATCTTGAAAATGGACATACGATCACCGAAGACCACTATTCTAACCAGGTAAAAACAATACGAGAGGCTATAAAAGAAAAAATGCAGAGGAAAGGTCCGAAAAGACATTTTGCTGCCTCTCCACGGTGCGCCAGCACACACTTGAAGAAAAGCTGCAGAAACTGCACGCAAAAGTGGCTATGCCACATCTACCCTATTCTCCTGATTTAGCAGCGTCCGACTATTTTTTATTCCCCAAACTGAAAGATGATTTTCTGACTAAGAATGGCAAAAACTTATAACTGTGGGAGGTGACTACATAGGAAAAGATTAAGATTTGTACCAAATTTCAGCTTTCTACCTTTATTCCCTCATGGCCAGGTTAAAAACCTTTTGGTATACCCCTCATGTATATGTGTCATGACGTGGTGGATTCAGGCGCTCGTCAATTTTTGGGCATATGGGGTTATTGGTATCTTCTTAAAGCCTGTTAGTTTGCCTTCCTTTTGGTGGAAAAAATGTCCATGTTAAAAAAAGTCGAAAGAAATATTTGCGATTGAAAGAGGTCAGGCTCGCCTGGTTTCAGAGGTAAAATTAGCAAGAAAATGGCCGCTAAAATTTGTTAACTTCCATAGCTTTAGAGTCCTTTGAAACTGGAAATTTACATTTTTTTTGCCTTTAATCAACGATTTTCAGTAACTCCTCACAGACATGTATTTAATTTTAAATGGACATAAAATGTATTGAGCCAAAAAAAGAAAATTAAAAAACAATTGGCCAGCGGCCCCCAAAATGCTGATTTCTTTGATTTCATTATTTTGACGAGTGCCTAATTTCACTACGCTGCCTCACAATTGTTTCTTTTCTAGAAACTCATTAAACTCCAGTAGTGTAATCTTGATTGTTCCGGACCCGCCTTGCAGCTTTTGTTACATATTTTATTGTGTACTGTGTACTGACTATAGACATTTGAAAGTGAGGGGAGGGGTGCTTTTCTGAGATGAGATTCCATTAATTGTGTTGCGTCTCTACTGAGGCCAATTATATGCTTATGCCGTGTGCTTTGGCCTGAAACAGTGCTTGCAAACTTAGGCGATATTGCCCACAAGTAGGTAATTTGGTTATTTGGTGGTAGTGGGGATCACATGAGTAGTGATGTATAATTTTATGTTCAGCTTGGAAATATGTGTAGGTGGACTTTATGAAAATTTAGCCTCATTTAAAGGTGGCAAAAGTGGGCGCTGGCTTTAAAAGGTTGACAAGCCTTGGTTTAGAACATACTTATGGGCAGCTTGACATGTTGCATTTTCTAATTTTGTTTTATTTTGTTTATTCCCAGAGGTTTAGTGAGAATCGTATGATTATGATGCAGAAGGAAAAATCTTTTACTGTTTTTCTTCGTGCATTACAGTTGACGTTGCTCAAGGCTCTGATGATGACAATGAGGATATCATCAAGGCAAGTGGACGCAGGACCTTGTCTGATCTGTACCCGAGTTCTCCTCACAAGACCAAAGGTGCTGGTCAAAACGATGTGGGGGTGGACATGGAAGATGGCGAAGAAGCTATATCTACCTCGCCGGACAAAGTGTGTCACAGGAACATCTACAGTAGCCATCCGGTGGGCAAGCGGTCTGTTCCAAGTTTCCTTCATCGCAGCCTAGCTGTGAACCCGTATCTGCACCCAGCAGGGGGCCATCTGGACAGTGGGAAGGAGGAGGGTCCGAGTAAGAGGAGAGTACAGCTGAAGAGTGTGGTTTCATCCGATTCTAAGCAACCGAATGACGAGAACACGCCAAGTGTTAGTGATGCAACAGCGGACAAAAATGTTTTACATCACTCCCGAACCACTGAGGAGAATGAAAACGATTCTGATGATAATTCGGATGAGTCAAGTGCCTCTAGTGAAAAGGGAGATGATGATGAGGAGGAGGAGGAGGACTGTGATGTGTTGGTGGTACCTTCTGATTCTGAGAGTGAAGCTTCAACCTGTCCTAGCCCAGTCAGTGTCATTGCTCTGAGCAGTTCGGAGGACGAGGCTGATGATGATGCTCCCAGTGTGTCGAGAACATCCGGCCAGCCCAAGAAGACACTGTTCTCTCAAGGTAATTTGCTTATCAAGAAGGAGCTTCCAGATTCTGCTGCAGGGGACAAGGTGGATGACTCTAGAACGGGCAAGCACGTTGCTTCGAACGTTTCTCCCCAGGATAGCAAAGAGAAACATCTCAGAGCTAAGTCGTCCCGATATTATATTGATGTTGTTTTGGACACAGATAATGTGGAACGCTCCATCCCCTCTTCCACTCATGAAAACAATGACAAGGCCGTGAAATCTGACCGAAAATTTCAGGGCAAAGAGGGAGATAACAATCATAGTGCTTGTGGGAAATTCAGAGAAGTTGGTAAATGTACAAGTGATATTGGTCCTTCGTATTCCCCGACGACATGTGATGAGGACAGCAGCATTCAGAATCAGGAAAGAGATGCAGGCGGGGTTGGCAGTGATGAAAACATAGGTGGGGGTGAAGGTCAGTTTGTGGGGGCAGTGAAGAGTGTTGACAGATCGATCCATGAAAACTTTGATGAGTGCAGGGAGCGAGGGGCAGGAGAGGTGTGTGTGGACAATTCGCATGAGGTTGGATGCTCGGAGGCCAGTGACAACGGTCCTGTGCTAGTCCTTGGTTCTGTGGTTGGGGGACAGGAGATGGAGGAAGACTCTCCTGATTCTGTTAGAAAAAGACGGGAAGGAGACAAAGAGAAGGCTGGAGATAATCACGGTAATAAAGTTATGATTCTAGAAGATGAGGCGGTTGTTGAGAGAGAGTCTGGGAGTGAGGCACTGATGACTTCTGAGCATAATTTGACTGAAGGAGATGTGGACAAGGCAAAAAGTTCTTTTGAAGTGGAAGAGACTGGGAAGGTTTCTTCACTGAGGCCTTTGGAAGAACATTCTGACTCTGAGGGGAAAGAGGGTGAGGAAAATGTTGTCAGCAAGAAGTCCAAAGGTAAAGAGATGGAGGAAGATGACATACCCATGGAAGCAGATGGTCAGTGCCATGATGAAGATCAATTAGTGGCTGCCGTTGTCAGTCAGACTGATGATTTCAGCTCACCTTCCCCGGTGCCGTTTGACTTTTTTGATGGCAACAGCTGTGAGGTGCCTGAGAAGTCTCAGTGTGAGGATAGGGTTGGGGATGTGTCGGCAAGTGTGTTGTGTTGTGAGGCGGTACCAGCGAGTCCGACAGGAAGTTGTTCACGGTCTGATAAAGCCAATGAGAATCGTGAAAAAGAAATTGGTGGCAGGGACGTGGCTGAGGCAAGTGTCAAGGAATGTAGAGCTGAGAAAGTGCAAGAAGGTTGTACAGAAAATAATCATGAACCAGAAGAGGTAACAGACATAGGCAAAGATACAGCGTGTGAGACTCCTGGTCATAATGATAATCATGACCAGCCTAGCAGAGGAGGTGACAAAATGCGGGAAGGTTCTGTTGAAAGTAAAGTCCAATACCATGCACTGGAAAGTGATGAAAGTGCAGTCTGCCAGAGGGTAGATAATGGTGATGACACAAGCTCACAGGACACAGTTGCAGGAAGTGTTTTGGTGACTACCTCGAAGACCACGCAGTTCCAGTCTCTGGCGGCGACTTCCCAAGATGTTCTGGCGAAGACTGCTGAAGCCGAGGACTCTTGTCCTTTGCAGAATGGTGAAAGTGTTGACAGCATCTCCACAAAAATTGTTGATAGTGTGGATGATAAACTTTTAAAGCCGGTGAAGTGTGAGATAAATGTCAGCTCTGGTGGACAGTCTCGACTTTGTCTTGACGATGAAGATGATGATGATGATGATGATGATGTGATGATAATTTCTCAAGAAACTGAGAGCCGTCAGACGACAGAAGAGAAAAGTTCAGGAACCAAATGCGTCTTTGGTTCTACTGTGCCGAACAAAGGGCGTGGGATGGAAACAGATTACAAAAAGGAAAAAAGCGCAGATGTTGGCGACAGGAGTGATAAAGGGAACAAAAAGTCTTCCTCTGACAGTGACGGCAACGACTCTGACGATGTGACAATTGTTGAAGTGGCAAGTTCATACAAAGGGTGCAGTGTTGCTCATAGTGCCTCTCAGTCTGTTTCAGGGAGTCGTAATGCCATCGGTACTGCCTCTTCCAAAGAAACTGTTCATGTGATAAAGTCAAGTCCAAAAACGAAAGAGTATGAGGGAAAAAGTGTCTCCATGGTTACCGAGCAGCTGCCCATTAGTTCCTCTTCTGTGTCTTGTGATAATGTCACTGAGAGAGGAGGAGCTGCAGACAGAAAGACACAGTCTGTGGAGGAGGTTGAGATTATTGAACAAATCTCTCCAACTGACAAAGATAAGCTTCAGCATTTGTCTCCTGAAAGCAGATCCTCCAGCAAAGAGTTGGGGTGTAAATCTCCAGAGGTGTACGAAGTGCCTGATGATAATACTTCAGATGAGAAGGTTAATGATAAAGCCACAATGAAGTTATCTTCTGAATTAAGGAAAGAGAATGTTGACAAATGTGAAGAGGCATACGGGGTGCTTCATCATACGGAAAAGGATGGTATTCAGGAAGAAAACAGGTGTTCAGAAATGAGTAAGGAGGATGACGGTCTGTCTGTGCTGGTCAGTGCCTGCAAAGTGAAACAGAACAAGTTGGAAGATTGTCTTCAGAAGGAGGAGATTGGAAGTAGTGGGAAGTTTGACAAGGGCAAAGAGAAGGTAGCTGGTCATTCTAAGCCAACAGAGTCCAACAAGAATAGGTCTTTCCTGGAGTCTCCAGATGGTAAGAGCACTAAGTTCAAGTCTCCAGATGTGTGTGAGTTGTTGGATGATGATGATGATGATGCTGATGCTGAAGAAGACGGGAAAAAGGTGAACGATTCTGTCAAGGCACAAGTGTCGTTTGATTCAGGGAAGGAAGATGTTGAACTGTCTGTTCTTGCCAAGTCCCCTGATGTCAGTGAAGTGATTGATGATAATACTGAAGAAGTTGAAAGGGTCGATGATGATGATATCACTTTTGTAAAAACGTGCTTGGGTTCAGCCAACAAGAGCCCGCTGTCAGTTAATACAGATGTGAGTGAAGTGAAGAAGAATGTAGGGAAGGAAGTGGGGAGTGGAAAGATGGAGTCAAAGGGAGAATTGGAGATGAAACTCACACATTCCAAGTCTGATGGTACTCATGAAGGTGTGGTCGAAAGGATTGAAACAGATGATGGAGGACGTGATGGGGAGGCTGCTGGATCTCAAGTTGCTATGTTGTTAAAATTATCTGCCGTCAGTAAAGTTGGGGAGAATGATGCTATAGATGCCGTGGCTGAAAAAGGGAAAGACACAGTGAAAAAGTCTCAAGGGGAACAGAATACTGGGGAAGAACGGACATTTGTTTTGGATGTTGTCATATCGGGCCACTCAGAATCTGGTGAGAAAAAGGAGGAGTCGTCTGTTTGTCAAGAAAATGATATTGTGGCTGGAGATGCAGGCGTTTGTGATGATGTTGTTGATGAACCAGAGAATAAAAATCCTAAAATAGAGAAGACAGCACCGAGCTCACCTTGTCCTGTTGAATTTCTGTTCCAGGAAAGTTCTGCCAGTGACGTAATTGTCTGTGAAGAGGGCAGTGTTGAGACGAATCCGGACAATGAGAAAAACAAACGAGAGGGAAGTGGCAAGGAGCGGATAGATATCAGGGATACAGTAAATGAGGCACCTTCTGATGATAAATTAGGGATGAATGTAAAGAAGGATAAAGAAAAGGAACTAAATGATGATGGTTTGAGTGATGGAGAGGCAGCTGATAGTGGTTCGTTGACAAGAAAACGGAAAAATGATGAAAAAGAATGGGTTTGTGATGACAGTGATGATGGGGATGACTGTAAGGTAGAGAAAGTGACATCCGAAGGGAAGCCGTTCAATAAAGGGACAAACGTGGAAGAGGAATTGGATAATGATGATGACAAGACCGATGAGGGGACGTCTGAAAATAAGCAGTGGAGCAAACAGAGGAAAAATTATGATTCTAGAAAGGAGCAAAATGATGATGACGATGATGATGTTATTGCTATTGGTGAGGAGCCAGGTCCCCCCAACAAAGCTCGTAAAGTTGACTCGACGCAAGTGAACAGTATTGTGACCGATGCTTTCATCGACAATGTGGCCCGTGAGGTGTTGAGCAAGACGTCTGGCACATCAGCTAGCAAACCCCCCGCATTTTTACCAGGGACGAGTCACCTCCATCGGGGTTCTTATCATTCCAGACCATCATTGATATCCAGTGGCCCGCAGGTGAGACCCAAGGTCGAGACCTCTCATGTACCTCAGTCACATGTACCGCAGTCTCCTTACACTAATAATTGGCAGCAGAAACGTCAAAATCGTCACCATATGCCGAACATGTCACATCTGCCTACGCCACAGCCACGTCGGGTCTCTGGCCTTTCGCCTCACTTTGGCAACAAACGTCAGTCGTTGGTGAACCCACGAGACTCGTTTATTTCTAAACCAAGCATTCACCGTGGACAGTTTGAGGGGGAATCCAGAAGCCACAACGTTCGAGATCGTAAAAGTTTTCAGAATTCCCCCACAGGTGGTCTGAAAATTGCCTCAGTGGTTAGTCTAAGCCAGCCTGGTTGCTCGAGTAGAGCAGACGTGAGGCCGAGCAGGGACTATACTCACAACATCAGGAAGGGACCTGTGCCTGGGTCTCACCACAGCAGGGGCTCCTTTAACAACAAGGTTCCCCAGATGTCAGTCCCTGGGTCAAGCCACAGGCATATGGATCGGCGGTTTGATGTGCCCGGCAGCCGTCCGTCTCATACTCATATGCCACAGTCTTCCTCTCTCCCCTCTCCTCGATCGAAAACGCATGTTGTCAAGACGCCTGACTTCAGTCACAAAAGAAAAAGTTTTGATGGCGCTGAGATAGTTCTTGACGATTCTGACGAAGAGGACTCCAGAAAAAGAAATAAAAAACAGAAAGTAAGCTCTGGACCCGTTGTGCAGAGTGTAAAATCCTTGGCCCCCCCAAATCCACATCGCAGTGACAACTCAAGAGATGGTAATGTTCCTAAAAAGGGGAACAAATTTCCTTCATCGTTTGCGGGTGCTGCTGCAGGGAAGAAGACGAGTGACGTGATTGAATTGTCCGATTCGGAATAGACTTGATTTTGTGCCTCAACAGTGAGAGTTGGTTGTTTCTTTTCCCAGTTGTAAATGTTGCTGCCTTTTACCGGTGCTTTAGGGGCTTCGGAGAAAGCTGCTTGCTTTTCACAACCCGTTCTCCACTGGATTCCCATGCCAGCAGAAAGTGCTTTCAGTAGCAGGAATAGACCAACCAAAACAGTATTTAGGGAATTTTTCCTCCTTCGGCCAGAATTATTCAGCCCAACAGTCATGCCGTATTTGTACATAATGTATTTGGACGAAATCCTTGAATAATATCAACGGAAGCAGATGTGTAAAAATGTTTTTTGGCAGACGTGTTATGAGTCGAGGTTTCAGGGCAAGTAAGAATGTGCAATGTATTTTTACCATATTTGTATTTTTTCCCCCCCATTTTTCTTTAGAATTGCATGTATGGATTTTCTGCGTACTACATGAGTTGTCTGTCTGATGTCCACTATGGAGTTTCTGTTTGTTTGGTCAACAGTGTTGATTGCTTGTGTTTTAAGAGATGGGTTGTGAGTGGGCACTCTTTGTCGTGTAGTCAAACCTTTTTCCTTTTCCTCAGTGTACCTATCGATTTTTTTTTATGGGACCATTATCATGCTGACTCTTCGCTGTAGCAAACTCAGGTCACCCTGGTGTGTACCATACATTGAATCTATTCAATCAAATAATGACGTACATAATAATAATACCTAAATTATATTGTATTGATCCCCGTGGGGAGGTGTGGGTTACAATGGCAAATATATAGATAAATACATAAATAATACATAATTATAAATACATACATAAAGACATGCACAATATTACACTAATGCAGAACAATTTCATTAGCATGCCATTGCTGGTCGCCACTGTGCAGCGCCCTGTTTTTTTTAGCTGTGGTTATCGTGTCTTGCTCAAGGGCACACACCCCATTGACCACCCGTCGAAACCCTGTGTCGCTGACACTTGCTTGACCTCACTTTTAGGTCTGAACTCATTACTCACTAAGCCACTGATGCCTGGATTGTGCCGCTGCTGGTTCGGCTGCTACACAAAAGTTAACAGATGGTCATGACGTGTTTTTTGGGGGGCTGTTGATTGCATTTTCTGGATGAATACTGAATTGTACACATATACATGTCATTGTAAACATTTGGTTGAAGTCTCCATTAACACTTTCCTTGCGCACGCTGAGCTAGCAACTACGCATTTCCTTAGCAGTTTGGCATGTTTTAAAAAAAAGTGGATTGTGAAGTCAACTTTTATGCTACGGGTATAATTAAGGTATCACTGGAAAGGAGAATGTAAGCAAATGCAGATTAGTTGAAAGAAAGACTGTGTTTAAATTAGTTAGTACTTAGACAGCCTAAAGATAGAACAAACATTGACAAAAACAGGACTCATAATTCAGATAGCATGTGCAACATATAATGGTAAAATGAAGAATAAAACGCACTTACTTACATTGATATTATTCTTTGTAATCATCCAAGGTGTAGGAAAGTTATAATCCATGAAAAATATAGTCCAGCAAGAGTGAAGTTTTCACAACAACAAATGAAGTTCGAAAAAGAATTCACAACAAAAAATAAGAATTTGTACACTCCAGAGCAGAGCATCTCGATATACAGTAATAATTTACACACTTGATGATTATGATGGGACACAGTTACTGTGCTCCATTTACGTGAATGATAAGGCAGCGGAATGCACGTATGCTTGCGTTGCGCGTGCAAGGAAAGTGTTAAAATAACATAAAATTGTCTTTTGTACTCGATGTATTTGCTACCCGTATGTTGTCCCAACAAAGAGTGGGGATCCTGGATGTCGGTGGTAGGTCGAGTAAGTTCTCAATGGAGACCTCAACTAGAACTTTACCTCGTCACTCACTATTGTTGTTTGGACAGAATGCATTGTAGAATCTTCAGTGGTGTTTGGTTCGACTCGCGTTTGTGTGGGGATGACATGTGGTCGTTTGAGTGTTTTTAAAAATCAAATTTGCACTTGTGCATGAATTACAAGTTGTTTATTTTCTTTTGGATGTCTGTATTGAAATGTGCGTGGAGTGTTGTTATTTGACTCTTTTTAAGTAACATGCTGTTTGGAATACAGCAATATACTTGAGCCTCCCGGGGTAGTGCCACTGACTGTAGTGTCTTTAGGCCATTCCCAAAGGGGGGACGTTTCTCGTTCAAGCACAGTAGAATGGGCTGATTCATGTCACGCTCATAACTGTGCCTGATCTGCAACAGGGAACTGCTGCTTTTTCTTTCCTAATCCTTACTATTGTCATTTTCCTCTACTTCTTTTGTATGTTTGTCGTTCCCTTGTGACCTGCTGCTTTTGTGGTGCCTTGATAGTCGAAGCAGACCTTTGTGGTGTTGAAGCTAGAGAGGTGAGCAGAATAAGTCTGATTCCCTGTAAGGACTTCTCTGTTGACACCCACCCCTTGGCGCTCATATGACCTTATGCAGTTGCGAGCGCCGTAAAACCTCTACTAAACACACAACGATATACTTGAGCTGATGTGTGTATGAGTAAGTGCTTAAATCATATGTTTGTATCATTATGCTGCATTTAAAATGAGATGTAAGTCCTTGTCCTCTGCAGCTGTTACATTCCCTCATTTGTGTCTACCTCTGAATCAGGCATTTGAACGGCATGCAGGTAATGACTAGTAAGAAAAGCAAGTTGTAGAGTTATTTTTTCCTCTTGATATTGTCGATTTTGTGTCATATTATGAAATTTGAATTATTGACAGATTACTGAGCTTCAGGTATTTCTGTGTCTGAAAATGACTATGAAAGTACTTTCGATCCTCTCCTCTTATTCATGTAATTTAAATTAATTTGCCTTTGAAAGCATGATTATATGGTGCACCATTTGTCAAATTTCAATGACGAGTCAGCTTCCCCCCAAAAACAGGTTATTGGCCCAGCACTCCTTAAATCTTAATCTTACGAGCATGAAACTTTCAGGAAGCCTTGACTACATACAAAGCTGCACACAGTCGTAGCAAATTGGGAAATTTCAACAATCATTTACTTTACATTACAACTGATCATTTAACCATGTGAATTTCCCAAAACAGTTTTTCATTGAAACATCATATACAGTCAAACCTGTGTAAGACGGCCACCCATTGTCAAGGAGAAAAGTGGCCGTATAAGACAGGTGGCCGTCTTAGGTAGGACTGATCAAGAAGAAGAAAACAAACCATTCCTTTCTGAGAAAACAAACCCTTCCATTCTGAGGTTCCAACCGAAGGTAGTTACATTGTTAGTTGTTATTTTTGTTGCTGTTGTTTTCGCTGGGTTTTCTTTTCTTTTGTTGCTGCTTTAGTGCACGGGTGACAATAAAACGAAATGTGTCAGACAAGGGGGACCAAGTGCTAGGGTAAAACAAACACACGTGTCGCTACCACTCGGAGAACAAGCGACGCTTCTGTCACAAGTTCATGCTGAGGTCCATAGTTACTTTGTTACAGACTGGGTAAACAGTGACCACTCATCTCACTTGCGATTTGTGTATGGGTTCTGGGCGAGGCTTATGGGTTATGAGGGATCACACGCTTCCCTTCCCAGCAGCTGAAAATTAATTTTGTTACCTATTGGTCAACAGTGGGAGGGGCCTACGCAACATGATCAGTTGGAGGGACTACCTAACAACGACAGGTTTTTTGTTTATGATGATGGCTTGCCCACATCGCCAGGGGCCAATGCTTGATTTATGACAAAGCGTAATGGAGTCACTAAGGTGGCCGTCTAAGACAGGTGTTATTGCTTTGTGTGATAGGGGTTGTGTGTTGAAATATATGGTGGCCGCGGCTGCGTTGGACAGGTGCCCGTTTTACACAGTTAAATTATATAGAAAAAACGCAAGGGGGGAAATGGAAAGTGTCCGTTTGTACAGGTGGTCGTCTTATAGAGGTGGCCGTCAGGGCAGGTTCGACTGTATCTCAAAGTCCTGTATGAGATTTATCACAGTTACACTTGACTAAGTTTTGAGAAATTTGATCAGCAACCCAAGGATGTGCCTTGTTATTTTCAAGATGGCTACCGTTTCTAAAACAATTGTAGCTGCCATGTGTAAAATAAAGGGCATATTATTTTTAAAGATGAAGAATAATTAAATAAATAAGTAGTCTTTATTCAATTGATCCTTTATTTCAACACTTTTATCGGTCCTGCAGGGGGGAAATTGTGGTTTCATTGGCAAACATAGTCAGATAATTACATATTTAAACACAAATATAAGTACAATAAAATACTAATTACACAATATTCCACCAATGCTGACAATTTTTCCAACGCAGTTGCTGGTTCCCATTGTGCAGTACCCTGTTTTTTTTCAGGTTATTATGTCTTGCTCAAGGACACACTCCAATGGCCACGCGTCTGAACCATTTGTCACCGACACTTGCTTGACATTATTTGTGAGTCCGAACTCTCATTAATCACTCAGCCACTGGATCTCACTAAATCTAATTCATGTATGTATGTTAGATACATTTTATCTCAGGTTATTAAAATAGACAATGGGTGACAATGGATCACAAGGGTGATTCATGTCCTTGAGAGTGTCTGTACGTAAGTTAATATTTTTTTTGTGTAAAGAAGTGAATTTGTCCCATCTAAGACTAATTTATGGAGCAAAAGAATTATTGTAGATAGACAGAGAAGAGTGAAGATCTATGACGTATGTGTATATTATATATATATATATATATGACTTGCACAGACATGCACATGTATAGGAGTGCACTTACACTCGCATACACACACGCACGTAACGGCACACACACACAGACAGACCCACAACTCCTAAAGGGGTTTCTAGTATCAAGGAAAGTTTGAATGAAATGGTGGGTCAAGTTGCACACAAGTGCTGACTTGTTGCAGTAAAACAGATCGATCATCTTTTTTTTTTTCCTTCTTTGACTTTGTCTTTGTACTACCTGATTTTGGGCCATACTACCTGAAACTGACCCTGAATCTCTACCTGAAATGGGAACTTTGAGTTTGAGGTAGGCAGCCCTGGATATAGGAAGTGTCATTCCCTTATGTTACATTTTTCAGGCTGGAACCAGTGGGCTCTGAGTGCAATTTTTGTGCTATGTTATTAGTGATGGTGGTTGGCATGAACTTAGGTAAAGGTGTACCTCGGTGATTTCGATTTATCTCTCTGTATGTTTAACTGATTGTGTGGTTGATATAATACATGTATTATAATTAGAATATTGTCACTGCACTAGTGAAATGGCCTAACTGCAACTAGCCTTTCATTTTGTTTGGTAATACTATCTTTTGGTGACATCAAAATAAATATGCTCTGGCAGTCACAAAAGAAACATGCATGGCAAGTTTGACCAATATTAGATGATAAAGTCTAGTTTAACATTTTTTTACCATTTATCTCAAAAATGGCAAAAATGTGATGTGCCATTTCGCTAGCGCAGTGACGATATGGGTGCAAGGTTTCCTCTTTTAAGGCGATGATGAAGTTGCTCGTTGGGTCTAAATCCTATAAGACTGCCAAGCGAGTGAAGAGCGCAGAAAATTGCCTGCAACAATCAAAGTCAAAGACAGTTTATGCTTTTGTGGGGGGGCCTGGAACCAGGGTTGTTGGTACCAGACAGGCTGACTGGTCACCGGACGGACATTGGGTCTGTGTGTATGATGTAAATGTCATATAGAATTAATCTCTTTTTCTCTCATTCTCTTCCCCCCTCGGGGCGGTGCCACTGACTGAAGTGTCTTTAGGCTATTCCTAAAGGGGGGGACATTTCTCGTTCTTATGCATCAGCAGAATTGTAAATGGGCTGATTCAACAATGTCAAGCTCACAACTGTGCCTGAACTACAACAGGGAACTGCTGCTTTTTCTTTCCTGATCCTTACTATCATCGTCATTTTTCCTCTACTTCTTTTGTGCGTTTGTCACACTCTTGTGACTGCTTTTTTCCGGACCCTCCGGGGCGGTGCCGTTGACTGAAGTGTCTTTAGGCCATTCCCAAAGGGGGGACATTTCTCGTTGTAATGCACAGTAGAATTGTAAATGGGCTGATCAAACAATGTCGGGCTCAAAACTGTACCTGAACTACAACAGGGAACTGCTGTTTGGGCTCATAACTGTACCTGAACTACAACAGGGAACTGCTGTTTTTTCTTTCCTAATACTTCTTTTGTATGTTTGTCACACTCTTGTGACCCGCTATTTCTGAGGTGCTTTGATAGTCGGAAGCAGACTTTGTGCTGTTGGGGTGAGCATAGGTGAGCAGAGTAAGTCTGACTCCCAGTAAAGACTTCTCTGTTGACATCCACCCCTTGGTGCTCATATGATGACCTGATGCAGTTGCGAGCACCGTAAAGCCTCTACTAAAACATCTCTCATTCTCTCTCTCTCTCTTTTCTCTTCAGGTGCAACCTCTCATATATTTGTGTGTTTGTCCTTATTTCGACTGCATGAATCAAGATGAAATGATTTTTAAAAATTTATGGATAAAATAAAATTGATAAATTGATTGAAACAAGTGATTTGAAAGAGGCAAAGTATCTCAACTATTTTACAATAGCTACATAAATATATCC